GTCTCCTAACCCACCCCTAAAAATAAAAATATGTTCACAGCCTCTTCTACTATTTGAACTAAAAGAAGTATATGTTTCAGTTGTAAATTTCCTCAGGGTACAACTAACAAACTCAATGCATTAGTGGGAATAGGGCAACAATATTAATTTCAAATCACCAGTTTGAGAAGAGTACCATGATGGTGACATCCACTTGGAAAGGTCAGTTTTAACAGCTGATGTCAGGTCTGCAGATGTAGGTGTTTTGGATCAGAATTGTAGTAGTAGTGGAAGCAAGAAGGGGTCAGATTTGGCTGTATTTTGAAGGTAGAGCCAGCAGGATTTGGGCCCCAAGGAAAGGGCCCCAAGTCACCCAACAGAGGGCTTATACATTATACCCATAACAAGGAACCTTTGGGGAAATGCTTGCCTTCAGTTCTTTTTGAGAGACTTTGAAAAGTGCCATTAGTGAATAAATCACGTATATCTTCATATTGCCTTTATATGAGAGTTTCAAAATATGAATCTTTTCAAAATATGGAAGGTGTGGATCTTTGGAACTGTGTAGAACTGTCTTTTGAAAAGTTCTCCCCAAATCCCCTGGTCAAAATTAATCACTCCTTCCCTTGGTGCCACCAGGGAGGCATAAAGTCACATTTAACATTACCAAGTTATGTATGTAGCTGTTTCTCATGAGGCATTGTGAGTTTGCCAAAAGAATCTGTCACTCAGTGCCTGGCACACAATTGACACTCGAGTATGTTGAATAAAGGAGCAGAGATTGCAGAAATTGTTGCCGTTATAATGAGGGAAAAATGAAAGATTACCAAATGTCCATTTTTATCATACTATCTTCAGGGTAAAATAGATATATTAGAAAACATTCCACTTTAATGGATGCCAATATCATATCTACATACTCTCACAGTTTTTCTTTTTACTTTTTTAAAAAGTCATTTATTCCACAATTTTTGTTAAACATTTACTCAGTTTCAGATTGTGATATCCTGGGAGGTACAGAGGTAATTAAAAAGCATTCCTGATGTAGTTAGTAAAGTTAAGAAGAGAAGGTCATATTGAAGTGGGGTTGGCCAGTATGATGGGTGTCCAGTATGACGGGTGTCCTTATAAGAAGAGGACAGACAGAGATGAGGAAAAAATGTCATGTGAAGATAGAGGAATAGAGTGATGCATCTACAAGCCAAGGAATACCTGAGATCACCAAAAGCTAAGAGAGAGGCGTAGAACATCAGCTTCTTCCCTAGAGCCTTCAGAGGGAACGTGGCCCTGCCAGTACCTTGATTTCGGACTTCTGGCCTCCACAACTGTGAGACAACAAATTTCTCTCTCTTCAAACCAGAGAGAGGGAAACTCTTGCTCTGCTAACAGCTGAGTACACTAAAAAGGACTGGGTTAGAACTACATTTAGGGGAGCTGGGAGAGTGCCATGGAAGGAAAGAACCAGGAAATCACCAGAGACAGAGACAGAAAGTGTGTCACTCTCAATTGACTTCCTTCCTTCCACTGAGGCTTGAAGGAAGCTTTAGAGTGTGTCAGATTGTCTTAGTTCATTTGTGTTGCTATAAAGGAATACCCAAAGCTGGGTAAATTATAAAGAAAGGAATTTTATTTGGTTCATGGTTCTGCAGGCTGCATAAGAAGCATGGTGCCAGCATCCACTTCTGGTGAAGGCTTCAAGCCACTTACACTCATGGTGGAAGGCAAAAGGGAGCTGATGTGTGCAGAGATCACGTGGCAAAAGGGAGGAAGCAAGAGGGAGGATGCAAGAGAGAGGGGAGGGGGATACCAGGCTCTTTGTAACAACCAGATCTCTCAGGAACTAATACCAAGAGCTCACTTACCCCTCCTCCCCTAGGAAGGCCATTCATCTATTCATCAGGAATGAGCCCCCATGACCAAAATAATTACCAGTAGGCCCCACCTCCAACATTGGGGATCAAATTTCAACATGAGGTTTAGAGGGTTGAGTATCCAAACTATGTACAGGCAGACCAATATTCTCAGTAGGAAAGGCATTGGCCTCTCGGGGAGTTTGGAAATTTTAGGGGTCATTACTGGTGGTCACTGATCGCAGGACAGCTCTGGCATATGGTGGATGAAGGCCAGATATGCTAGATGTCCTGCTGTGCTATGGTTTAATCTTACACGACAAAGATTCATCCTGTATCCAGCATGATGTTTGAATGTCTCACGAGATATCCATGCAGGTGAAAATGTGGTTATAATTATCTGAACCTAAAACCTAACTCATGTCACATGTACACAAAGCATACTTTACACAATTTTAATGAAAGCTGCATTTTGCAGAAATATGAATCCCTTATGAATCAAAGGAATATTTTGTTTTGCTATCTTTGGAACTTTGCCAAAAGCAGTTCACCATCTTGGAAAACCACATCACCGACTATCTCATCGCTCATGGTATTTGTATGTCCAATGTAATACACCTGAATCAGTCTTGTATCTGTCAATCCCCAGTGATCCTAAGCAAACATCTCATTACTTCGTTATGTCTTTGAGTATAGTCATACCAACACATTTAAATAGAGAAATAGGGAGGGATAGCATTAGAACAAATACCTAATGCATGCAGGGCTTAAAACCTAGATGATGGGTTGATGGGTGCAGTAAACCACCATGGCACATATATACCTATGTAACAAACCTGCATGTTCTACACATGTATCTCAGAACTTAAAGTATAATTAAAAATAATAGAGAAATAGATATTTTATTTCGTATTACTTGTCTTTTTCAACATTATAGTGAAAGCATTATATTGAAGTTTTAAAATTGTGAGTATAGATCATATATGTTATCCATAACATTTATTCCAAGATTGTAAAGGGCAGGTTAATGTCATTTAATATATGCCAAGGGGAGCAATGGGTCTATAAGGACGAGAACCAGTGAGATGGGCAAAGTAGAAAGGAAGAACATTTTAGGCAGCACATTAAAACTTTAATGTGCACGTGAATCACCAGGGGATCTTGTTGCAATGTGGCTACTGCTTCAGTGGTTCTGGGGTGAGGCCTGAGAGTCTGCATTTCCAACAAGCCCCCAGATAACGCTGATGCTGCTGGCCCATGGGTCACATTTTCAGTAGCAAAGTTCTAGACAGCGGGGATTGAAGGTGCTAAGGTTTGAAGGTTTGGAAGAGTTTTTCTGGGAAACAATCAGTGACTTGGTATAATCAGAGCACAAAATGCAAAGCATTACATGATGGTTGATGAGACAGTCAAGGCAAGCAGGGACAGAGCACGCAGGACCTGATTTCTGTGTTTGGGCTTCATTTTGTAGACAATGGAGGACCCTGAAATGATTATAAGCAGAGTTCTATAATTTAGATCTCCCTGCCACCATGTGGAATGGCCCTGCTGGACACAGAGAATCCAGTGAAGATGCTTTTCCAATTATGTTGCCAAGAAGTAATAAGGACCTGAACTGAAGAAGCCACAGTAAGAAAGGAAGGAAGAAGACAAGCTCGTTTTTTTAGAGTTAGATTTCCTGAGCCTTGGTGATTGATTGAGTGTGAACTGGGAAGAGGAGGGAGGTCGAACATGACTTATAAGATCCTGACTTGTGCTCTGGGTGTATAATGATGCCATTGGCCAGCACAGGGAGCACAGAAGGAGATGCAAGCTTGGGAGACAAAGTTCGGGGGGACTAGCTTTCAGACATGTGAATTTGAGATGATGTCTTATCAAAAACCAGAAAGATATCTGTTTGAACTTTGATGTTAAGACTTTTATTAAAAGTGTATTGAGTTTCATCATAACAGGCATCACTCATATAGGTGTGTTCATTTGCCAGGCTTCTGTGGATTTCTGAGAGAGTGGAGGGGGAGCATGTACAATCACCGCAAGCTCCATGGCTGACCAGCACAGGCATTAGGGTAAGAAGAAAAGGGGCAGTACTAACTTTTCCGTATGTTAAGTATTCACTTGGGGAAGCCGAGGCGGGAGGATCACCTGAGGTCAGGAATTCCAGACTAGTATGGTCAACATGGTGAAACCCTGTGTCTACTAAAAATACAAAAATTAGCTGGGTGTGATGGCGCATGCCTGTAATCTCAGCTACTTGGATGGCTGAGGCAAGAGAATTGCTTGAACCCGGAAGGCAGAGGCTGCAGCTAGCCGAGATTGCACCACTGCACTCCAAGCTGGGCAACAGAGCGAGACTCCGTCTCAAAAACAAAAAAAAAAAAAAAAAAAAAGAAAGAAAGAAAGAAAAATATGTAAAGTACATAATCAGTGTGGTGTCAGAAAGTAGGAGATATAGTTGGAATCCTGCTTCCCAGGGTTGGTCTTTCTATCTCTGTCTTTTTGTCTGTCTCACTCACACAACACACACCCCACCTACACTGCTGTCTTTACTATACCACTGGTTCACAAATGTTTGCAGGGTGGTGAGTTTGAGGTGGTCCTATGAGACAACAGGCCTGGTGTCCCCATTTCGTGTACTTAACCATGTCAAACTCCACCAAGACCATGCGGCTAGTCTTCAGTGAGTGCTAGGGGCCAGGTCTTTGTCCATAATCATAAACAACATAGCTCTAGGAAGAAATTTTATAAATAAGTAAATGGAAGCTTATAGAGACCAGATAATTTGCCTCAGGTCACACAGAGAGAAGAAAAGGTGAATCTAGCCTGATCCCATTTCTTTTCTCACTGAGGCTACAATTCATTTCCTCTAACCTCTCCCAGTCCTACCGAAGTAAAGCTGTCTCTCAAACACAGCATGCTGGTTCACATCTCTGCACCTCAGAGTATTTCTGCTTGGAATCCTCCTCTCTGATATTTAACTGTCAAAGTCCTACCTAGTAATCTGTCAAAATCCTACCCAGTGATCACCACATCTGTGAAGACTCTTCTAAGCCTCCTGATTTGATGCCCAGTGCATATTTCCTGTCTTGCATGTTTCATGCTGCACTGTAACTGTGTGTTTACAAGTCCTTTTCTCTCTCAAGGCTGTGGGCTCCTAAAGGGCAGGGACCGTACCTTAGTCCTCTTCCATCGTTGTGTCTGTTCCCATAAAGACTTTTGAAGTGAACTGGTGTGCATAGTCATTAGCGGGTTCTCTGTAAATTTCATGGATTGTAATAATGCCTGGAAAGTATAAGCCAGTTTCTAAAGAAAGCAGATATTAGCAATGGACAAAAAAAATGGCTTGGAAAATCATAATCTTTTAACACATTATTTACATACACAACTTTCTATAAAAAATCGGTTTCACAATGGACTCTCTTCCTCCTCCCTCCTGTCATCTCTCACCAGTAACATTAGGCTTAATTATTTAAATTAATTTAGTGGGAGTCAATAGTTAATTTAAAGTCTAATTCTTATTAGGATTTTAATAAATAACATTTAATAACTACCAATGACACTTCAGCATATAAGAACACTTAATTCTTAACATTATTAATTTTTAAATAGACTCTAATGGAAACAATTACTCCACACGGAAGTCTATACCTTGACCAAGTTTGAACCTTGGTTCTCTTTGTGTTGCTCATGTCTGTTGCTTTCTCTCTCTCTTTTCCTGTTATTTCTCGAGTGGGTTTTATGTGAAAGAAGATGGACTTCCTTCAGGCCTACAATAAAGTGAAGTGACACTGACTTAAGAAAAACAAAATATCATTTATGTTTATATACAAGAAGATATAAAATGTCTACAAATTAGCGGATTTGGGTTTGAACATTAAACTTCATCATTTGCATGCTGCATTGTTCTGTAGCATGTGTTTAGTTTTGTCATAAATTATCAAGTACTTTAAAAAACATGTAAAATGCTGTTTTCTGACTTTTGTAATTCAGATAACATTCTGGAATGAGACATATACACATACACACACACACACACACACTCTCTCTCTCTCTCTCTCTTATATCTCCCTAAAACCACTGCATTAGTTAGGATCTTAAGGAAACAGTCACCCAGATAACGTAAAGTAATGTAAGTTTATTGTAAGATCATATGTCTCAAACCAAGGTAGCCATGTCTCAAGGGATTACATGGCATTAGCCAAAAATTATGGGAAGTAACTGAAACAAAAAATACGTCATGTCTCTCTAAATTATCCTTTTTAAATGAATGCAACATTTTTAATGAAAAATAATACCAATCTCTCAAGGAGGAAAATGTAAATGGAATTTTGAAGATGAAAACAACATGAGATGGCAAAGAAATGCTAAGCTCGTGATAAGCCTCTTGGGCTGTGCCCCAGACTGCTAGTAGTACTAGCACCTCCTTTTCTTTTCTCTTCTTTTCTTTTCTTTTGTTTAGTAGAAAAGTCAGAAAAGTGTTGCATAAGATTCACGTAGAATTAAGGACAATAACAAGAGCTGCACAAGAGTTGATACTGGAGACTGGAATACTACTCAAAGAACAGAATTCCCCCAAACATGCGAGATGACCCCTAGCAACTGAATTATCTTGACATCACCTCAGCAGTAGAGTGCTGTTAGGTAACTCTGGCAAAGGTATACGTATAATCTGCTTCAATAGTCCTTATTCCCACCAACCAACTACCCTTCCTGCCCTTTATCTTTTGGTTACAGCTTTCTTATAGCTTTTGCCCACTTCTAATTTCAGTATACTCAATGGTTTTTCACAATATCTACAGCTGACTTTCTCTCTGGGTATTTTCTGCTTCCACTCCATCTTCCAAATGCTCAAACCTATTTGTGCATTAAATGTAAAAAAAAAAAAAAAAAAAAAAATTCACCCAAAGAAGGCATATCACTCCTTCAGTTAATCACCATCATCCCCATTTTGACAAAGATTTTGTGCCGTACTGCCCATAGCGTACTGGCCAGTCTACATGTTGTTTGCCTTTGAGTTCACTTCCCACTTTTGGCAAGGCTGGCTGTTGTTCTGTAGCAAGGTAACACAGGCTAAGAATTGAGATATGTCAACTTAAGGATTCACCGTGGTCAGGTTTCCTCCGCAGAAGACCATGGAAGTGTCATGGGCATTCTGACTCTTGCCCTCTTCAAAACAGCCCCGCTAACAGGTGTCAGAAACTGATTCCTTTGGTAGGATAAACAAATGGTATAACCAGATAAGGCTTTGAAGGCTTTGCAATGAACCCCAATTTGTAAGTAGTTGCACAGAAATTTAAAGAATGGAATCTCTGTTTGGATAGATGTCCTATATCATGCAGGTATCCTTTTTTATTTATTTTCCTTTCCTTTTTTTAAGTTTTGTATTTCAGCTACAGTGGTTTCAGTTAATCATACTTCTTAGTTCCTATTCCACCATTACTACTGGTTCATCACCTCCTTAGTCCTTTAGTGCTACTGTAACAAAATGTCAGTGGCTAGGTAATTTATAAAGAACATAGTTTTATTTCTCTCAGTTCTGGAGGCTGGGAGTACAGGATACAGATGTCAGCAGGTTTGGTGTCTGGTAAGAACCTGGTCTCTATTTCCAAGATGGTGCCTGTTGCTTTATCCTCTGGAACGGGGTAATGCAGTGTCCTCACATGGTGGAAGGGATGGGAGGGCAAAAGGGTGCTTCCTCCAACCTTGAGGTCTAAAGGGCCTAATGCTAATACCGTTTTTTAAGATGAAGCCCTCGTGACTTAACTACATCTTAGAGGCCACACTTCTTAATACTGTTGCATTGGGCGGACAAAAACATTGAAGCCCTAGCACCTCTGTTGATTGGTTGATTGATTGGAATCCTTTTCACAATCTCTGACAGGGATTTTAACCTACTGCTGGAACTTACTATCTCATAAGGGCGACAGCCTATTTCATATATTGAACTTGCTAATTCTCAGTTAATTCTTTCATACATTAAACCAAAAATAACTTTCCCTTAACTTTGCCCTAATGTCCTCAGTTCTTTCTTATAGAACCATATAGAAAATGTCTATTTCTTCCCCCAACACAATAGCCTTTCAACCCTACAAGGTTGGCTATTAACATACCTGAGTCTTCACCTTTCTATGTGAAACATAGACTGTTGTTTCATCAATTCTTCATATGATGTGGGTTTAAGGTACTTTACTACCTAGTCACTTTCCCTTGGACACATTCTAACTTGATAATGTCTTTTTTAAATATACATATACATTTAAAAATAGATATGCTCTGCCATTGAAGAACATGGTGGGCACAACCTTGCCCCTCCCATCTCTAGTTTTGGTTTTTATTAATGCATCCCCAAATTTGTATCAGTTTTTTTGGAAATAATATCACATTTTTGACTCTCATTGAACTTTAAATCTTTTTCGAGTGAACTGCTGTCAATTCAGAGCTTTCCTACCTTATATTTAAGTAGTTGATTCTTTGAACTTAGACGCAGAACTTAACATTTAACCCTATTAAATTGTATATTGTTAATTTCATTCCATCCTTCTCCTTTTCCAAGGTCTTTTTCAAATTTGATTCTTTAATATTGTCTATCAGCTTTACCTCCAACTTTCAGCCATCTACAAACTTGATAGGCAAAGTTTTTATTGAAATTCACCTAATTCACTGATTAAAATGTTTAGAATTTCAGAATAGAAGACAAAGAATCACTTTTAGTAGTGGTTCTAAAATTTTAGTGTGCAAAATAATTACTCAGGACATTTGCTAAACTTGCAGATCCCCAAGTCCCGTTTCCAGAAATTTTGATTTAATAAGTCTGGGATGTGATTCCAGGAATGCGCATTTTTAACTAGCACCACATTTGATTGTGATGCTTTTTGTCCTGGACTACACCTTTAGACATATCTTCAAAATTTTCCTTTAGGTCTAAATTGACATTAACATGTTCATTAATTTTAATAGGGTGCTTTTTTTTAGTACAGTGTTGGACACATGATTAATACTGAATGAATGACTGAACAAAAGAAAGAATGAAGGGTGGAAGCAGTGCTCAACTAATAATCCAGCTACATTTCTTCGTTTTAGTCACAAAGTCAATATGATCAGCTTTTTCAAATGTTTGGTTGTAATTGAATTATATTATGTCTTTGATGTTTCCCACTGAGGGAAAAAAAGAGATGTATTTTGCATGACCTTTTCTTAATGAACATATGTTTTCTCTTAGTGATCATTGCTTTCCTTTCTAAGTGCTCACAAATCATGTATTTAACTCTTCTGTCTAGAATTTCATTGGAAATTAAAAGTGTGTTATATTTAAACCTGGAAATCTCCCGTTATGAATTCTTGCTTTACTTTTAAGAAATTAGGGCATAGGTGTAGTGTTTTACTTATTTGCTATGCTTTAGGCCATGTGAGTTGTCCTTTATGTCTTAATATGTTTGCAGATAAATAAGAACTCAAGTACTGGACACTTCGGCAAAAAGAAATGTCTTACTTTTTCCTAGAATTCATATTTACAAAAACTTTCAAAATCTGCAGAAAGACTCAAAGAATATTACAATGTTCTTAATCTAGAGCAACAATTGTTAGCATTTTGCTGTATTTGTTTTTTTATATCTAGCAAGATATATAGCTAGCTAGATTTTCCCTTCCCCACCTCCTGAACCAGTTGGCTGCCATGTTATTTAATCTCCTTTAGTCTAGAACAATTTCTCTGCACTGCTTTCTGCCTTTCAGAATGGATGCCTGAATTCTCTGATTATACTTCTTGGTTTTCTCTGTTTAGTTGAGTTTTGGCTTTTGAGCCATGTGAAGTTTTATACGTTCAAAAAATAAAATTAAAGAGGATTAAAAATAACAAATTTTAAAATTTGTTCCTAGAGGGGAACTGGGGTGGCACATGACCGTGTTCATCATCAATTTTAGGGAAGCCAGAGAAGGCTGATCCAAAGTACAGAAGAGAGGGAAGGAAGGCTGGGCGGAAGAATACTCGACCGCTGTGAAGGTTCGGGAATGTTCAGCATGGTCATCGGGGATTTCCCCAGATAAAAATCAGCTATCAGATCAGTCGCCTGCTCCCAGCAAGGGGCCTGCCTCAGTATCCCCGCTGGCTCTGTTATCGGCTGGGAGCATCCAGGGCAAGGCGCGGCCTGCGCGGTGCAATGCAGCCATGGATTTCAGATCTCAGTCCGGGGGGCTGTGGGAGGAAACCTGAGGTGACTCTCAGAGTTGCCAAGTCAAGGCCCAGCCCCTTTCGAGGGGTGGCTGGGTGATTGATTGCAGGGATATCAAGGACCCATCTCTAGCCCCAAGTCAGGGAAGATGTGGTGGTCCCCACTGAGGCTCTGTCAAGATTTCATCGCAGCTCGACCTTTTGCTCTACTCTGCTCAATCCTGTTTCCTTCCCTTCGCTGCCCGTGGGGCTGATTTTACGTGCACCCCCTAATAAACCGCCTGCGTGCCCATCTGCAAGCATTGCTCCAAGCTCTTACTACCCTGTTAACACGTATGTAATCCTCACAACGCTGAGGTGGGTGCTGTTAGCATCTTCATTTTATGCATGAGGAAACTAAGGAACAGAGACTGGCTAAGTGGCTGCCCAGAGGAATTCATGCTCCTGGGAGGTAGCAAAGGCTTGCCTCAAACATAGACATGATGACTCCCTGCCGCCCCCTTATCTGCCACTCACTGCTCTTCTCTGTGACATAGAGATTGCTGTTAGCATACCCAGTATCGTAGTCCTTTTATATTTCCCAGATGCTTTCCTAGGCAG